CAAACACCATCAGATTATATTATTATATAATTTATCATTATCGTTATTAATAACATAATATTATTTTATGGTCTGGTACACAAGAAGGGAAGCAAATTTTGTTATTATATGTATAATATTATGTATTGTTATCGTTACCGTATTCACTTTTGAAACACACAACTTATTGTACCTTGTGGTGAAGATGGTGCATAGATTTTGGTTTGGTTGTGCGCTAGGCTATCTGAGGCATCTGGCCTGTACAAGCGAGAATGCTCCATCGCCAGTTTAAGCGCATTTGTCTGTTGCCGCTTTTCGCACTGTTCTTCGTTCACCTGACTGAGAACCAGGCCGGCTTACGTTCTTACTCTGAGCATCTATGGCCCGGCCCTCAATTCCGGAGCCACCTATTTCGGAAACACGGTCTGGATACTCAGATGGCCTAGGTTGTGCGACGTCGCTTGTGCGCGCTTCTGTGCCGGGGTTGTTGTTTTTTTATGTGTGGGATTTGTGATGTAGTTTTGTGCGGATTTGTGTGAAAATGTATGAGTTCCATGTGAATCTGTGTGGGTTTGTGTAAAAATGTGTGAGGTTCCGTGTGATTCTGTGTGGGTCTATGTGGTGCTCCATGTGATTCTGTGCGGGTCTGTATGAAAATGTGTGGGGTTCCATGTGATTCTGTGTGGGTCTGTAGGAAAATGTGTGGGGTTCCATGTGATTCTGTGTGGGTTTGTGGGAAAATGTGTGGGTCTGTGGGAAAATGTGTGGGGTTCCGTGGTGTAGTTTTGTGCGGGTTTTATGTAAAAATGTGTGGGGTTCCATGTGGTTATTCTGTGTGGGTCTATGTGTATCAAAGATGGAACGTAACAAGATATAGTTCACTCCTCTCTTTGAGCTAATTAAAAAAGTGTCCTCAAAATTCGGTGGCGCCTCCTTCGAAAAAGTGCGGACTTTGCGATCAGAGTTACCCTACTTGTGTGGAAAACTATAAAAGCGAAACTAACAAACTGTGCTATTCCTATTCTTCTTCTGGAGAAACGAAAAAGAACTTCAAAACAAAGACTGCAGCGCCATCTGAACCAATGCGCGGACTTCCGCGGACACTTTTTTGGCCGAGTGAACTGTCTTGTTATGTACTTATCTTTGGTTCTATATGTTTCTGTGCGAATATTGTGTATAGTGCTGTCAAAAATTCGAGAGTCAACTTATCTTCAAATATCTTGTTTAACGGACATTTTGTGTGCGCATTTGACCTACGTCACAGGTCACCAATGACACTTTTTACTGGCAAAACTTGTTACAAGAAATTAATTTTATAGTGAACATCTTTTTGCACGAAAAAGTCTCAGTCTTAAAACAAGCGTTCAATGAGCGTAATCTCGCGTTTGGAAAAAAATGACGGACTTGCTTTTAGAAGTGATATTGTCCCTGCTGTAAACCTTTTAAAATGTTGTTTTTTTTAAACCCACTGGGATTTTAAATTAGTATTTACTAAGGACTTTCATAGAATAAAGCTAACAGGTTTTCCTAAAATGTCAACCTGTTAAGACAAATATTGATATAAGACGCTGTGCAAAAGCTGGAGAGTTTATATTAGATAGTTTAGGAGATATTTGACAATAATTTGCGTCACGAATTTTTGACCGCACCATAGTTATGTGCGATTCCGTGCAGGCGTGTGCTCATATTGTCTGTCTTTTTGTGACTTTTGTCTAGGGAGTTTTTTTATGATATTATATTACCTTTGCAATGAGCTGAGGGGATACGTCTGTGTGTGTGTGTGTGTGAGTGTGTTCTGTTTTTCATAGTATGTGTGTGCATGCATGTGCCTGTGTGTGTGTGTGTGTGTGTGTGTGTGTGTGTGTGTGTGTGTGTGAGTGAGTGTGTTCTGTTTTTCATAATATTCTGTGTGTGTATGCATGTGTGTGTGTGTGTGTGTGTGAGTGTGTTCTGTTTCTCATAATATGTGTGTGCATGCATGTGTCTTTGT